ATACAACCATCCTATAATGGTACGTCAGAATCTTTCAAAAGATTAAAAAAAAAAAGGTCATGTTTGCATTAGGTTGTCCGTGTACATACCAACACAAGTATTTTTCTATGAATCTTTTTTTGTAGAATATGCATTATTGCAATATTTGAATAAAGAAAATTTTTATTTTTACACCTCTTGCAGGGACCTTTAATACCACCTGCACTAATATTTTTTAAATTAGATAGTATATAATTAATAAAAACCTGAACTCCTTTACAATAATTCATCATTTGCAAACTTGGGGTGAATTTATATATATTTATGAACAATCATTCATTATTCTTTCATTCCTTTAGCATATACCAATGTTTACTAATAAATATATAAAAAAAAAGATATCGGTAAAAATCATCACGTTGGTAAAAATCATCACAATAAACCGACCGACGGTGTTTTTGTTTGTATATGTTAATTTAATAGTAATGAAAGACAACAAGATTGAAGAGAGGGGGAATTAAATACATGCACAAAATTTTATTTTTCTTTCCTTTCTTTTTATTTCTGTTTACGAATTAAAGACTACAAAATCTTAGAAAAATGCACAAGCAAAATCCTATCAACTATGATTAACGAGTATCATGCAAGTAGAAAGAACCAACCCAATTCCCAGGACAAACAAATTGTAGAAAGAACAGAAGATGCTCCGCTAACAAACTTAAACTGTCCACACACCAGGTGTTTGATAGTGTGCCCCACTAAAAATCCCCTCCAAACATTCCTCCATATTCTCTGCAGCACCCAAGTACACCTCTCCACTCCTCCCAGACGGCACTTCACACAACCCAGGTCCCACTATCCTCTCTGCGAGCTCCACAGTACTCCCCCTTCTTGCATGCCTGGAAGCAACCTCCCTAATCTGCATTGGAGACAATACTTGATCTGTCGAGGCAGGGATTTCCGGTATATTCGTTGGAAAATTAAACGTTGCCGAAGGCCCTCGTAAACACAAAACAGCAGCATCATATGCTCTTGCTGCTTCCTCTGCAGTATTATATGAACCTAACCATATTCTATCCCTGCTGTTACGTTGCCTTATTTCTGCTACCCATTTTCCCCACTTTCTCATCCTCACTCCCTTGTAACGCCCGTTATCATCTCCTCTCTCCCTTCTTTCTCTCACCATTTCAACGCTGGTTTTCCAAATACTGAGAACCCTGTGGGTATTTGCTTATATAAGGCTACTGTTCTGAGGCAGGATTCGGATGGATGCGTGTGTGATTTCCACGTGGTCTGATGTCGATTGAGGTGGGAACATGGAAAGTGGCTTGGTAGTGAATTTCCAACCCTTAAGACTCTTCTGGGCGCTTACACGTTGTTGAGATTTTTGTAAAGGCGTCCAAAAGTTAACACGTGGATGATATGTTCGAACCTCGACATGCACCTGCTTTTTCTTATAGTTATCCCGGCTTCTCGAAGGTCAACTATATTCGTCTTTGTTGGTAACGACACCTTTGCTATTCTCCTTCTTATTACTAATTGTTTTGGAAGTTTAATAATAATTATTTTTTAAATATTTTTAATTTAAAAATATATTAAAATAATATTTTTTTATTTTTAAAATAAATATCTAAAACTATATATAAAAAATTAATTTAAAATAAAAAAATTTTATTTTTTTAAATTTTAAAATATAAACACAAACAGGCTAAGCTATTAAAATATGCTTTTGAAAAGAATCTCAGTTTAAAAAAAAATAAATTATTTTAATTTACTGATATTAAAAATTAATTTTTTAAAAAATAAAAATTAATATTTTAATATATTTTAAAACAAAAAATAACATATCTATTATTAAATACGCCTCAAATCAGATTTTAAGTTAAATTAAATAAATTATTAATTTAGTAAAATCTTGTTAATTTGATTTGATTAATTAATACAGAAGTTTAAAAAAATATATTTTTTAAAATGAGTTTTTTAATAAAAATATTAATTTAGGTTGCCTCCGTTAAAGGTAATATAATTACTCAAAACTCTTTTCCATATCAATTTCTAAATTAAATCAGTTTCCGGACCGATCGGACAACTATGAACTCTACCGCCTCTCTCCTTTCTCTTTCGTTAATTTTAATTAATTTCTTTTAGGTTCTTAAAGATGGATTCAAGAGGGATAAACTGTTGCTCGTTGAGCTCCAAATGATTTCACCATTAACTGATCTGGTTCGCTACCATAAGGAAGGGCACCGTCATCAGCCGATCGCAGCGAAGGACCTCCGATGACGATATGATTGTGAAGATGGGCTTCTCTCTGTTTCAGGTATCTGGATGTTTGATGATTGAGGAAGAGAGGAATCCATTCCACGCCCCCACCAAAATCGACCACATTAATTCGAGTCTTTTGAAATACTTTTCAGTGTAAAAAATCCCACCATTTGCTGCCAGAGAAAATAGAATTAATCCTGCAACATTTGTCATCAGATATGAATGCCTGCCTCGTCTGATTGCGCAGCGATATCTCCGATGGAAGCAGGAGCACTCAGGCCAGTGGAAGTTTGAAATACCAGTTCATGGCTTTCACAAGCAGTTATGCAATGAGTTGGCGAAGCTGAAGATTCCTGCCTTTGTTCGATGGCCGATATGTGAGGTAGCTCGCTAGGTGAAAAATTAGGCAAGAACACCTCGCTCACTATGACAAACGATGTGGTCGTTTGCTAACCTAAATTTTAATTATTATTTTAATGGTTGGAAAACCAGGACCACAAGATTTATATCCATAACACTAATTTTTTAACTAATTTCAACCATTTAACATCTTACAAACTTCTTTAAAACACCAAAAATAAATCAAAATACAAATCTATTAAACCCAAAAAATATCCACACTATCAAATCAAACCAGAAAAAATATTACATTTTTAATCTGGATATGTTTTTTTAAATCACGTTAAAACTTAAAACCATTATCATAAGACTCTTTCCATCTAATGAAATTCATTGATATTATTTTTAATATATTTAATGATTTAAATAGCCACTAAACAAAAAAACTTGAAAGAGTTTCGTGTAATCCCTTAACATTGACAAATTTGTTGGTAAATTTAAATAAAGCTTTACTTCCTAGTAGGTTTAAATTTTACTAGTTTTGAAGCTGTATTATAATTAATTTAGTCTTAGTATTTTAATAAAGGTGATGTTATTTCTATCCTATAATTTATTATTAATATGGTAAAGTCTAAAATATTCTTATATGATATGTGCCTTAATTGCTTTTTCTTCTTTAACTCCTAAATTTCATTTTAATGTTCCTTTCAAAATAATAATAATAAGAACAATAAAAGACTACAAAAAAGAAACCTATATTTTAAGAGTTTTATTTTATATTTTGGTGGATCTAAATTCCTAAAAATATATATATATATATATATATATATTATATTTTTTTAGTCCTAACACCTAACTTTAATAGTGAAGTCGAAATCATGTAACAATATTAAAATATCAATAATGATTTAGGAATTATAGAATAAGATATTTTATATTTCAAAATTTCAGAGTAATTTATTTATAAAAATTACAATATTTACCAGCTCAAAGTAGAGCATGTAAGAGAAAAAACATTACTACAATTTGTTGTTTTTTAGAAAATAAAATCATAAATATCTAGGCGTAATATACTATTTTTCATGTAATATATTTTTTTAAGAATATAAAGAAGTTAATTCTAAAATTAATTACTTTAAGATGTTCATAAAATATAAGAAACACATTAAATAATGTTACCTTAATCTCTAGAATAATAATGGAGAGAAAATAACAAAACAAAGTTTAGAAATGTAGAGAAAACAAAGAAAGAAGGGTCGGCGTAGCGATTTAATAAGGTCAAGTATATATAATATGTATTAATCACATGGAAAATATTACAGAAAACATACAAGGGTAGTAGGAAATTTTCAAGTTTTACCATGTATCTGCCTGTGATTAATTAATATTTAAACTTTATACTTTTCTTGTTAATCACTTGTCATTTCTACAAGAAAAATTTAGAGAGAAAAAAAGGCACTTTGAAAACCATATTGCCATTTTACATTATTGGATTGGTCTGATTTATGAATATATTGTTCACCATGATGTTCTTTATAATCTAATCGAAGGAGTTATTATTATCGGTCTTTGTTTAATAGTTGCAACCAACACAATTATTTTGAAAAAGCCCACCTCAAGTCTATCATTGTTGTCAAGCTGTTTCTCCTTCTTTCACCATTAGATTCACCTGAGATTTGGATAAGGAGGTTTGCCCATATGTATTCTCCCTTCTGATCGGTGGAGATTGGAAACAAACACTTCAGCAAGATGTTTTTCTTGAATAATAGATCATCATTTTCCAAGTTAGTTTGATTTTAAGTTGATCTTGGATAATTTAACTATTGGATTGAGCTAATTTTTAGACATGTTGTAAGAAATATGATGGTTTATAATTTTACTATTAAGTTTCAACTGGATCTTAATTTATAGAAAATTATGGTAATCTGAATATATTATTCGTGAACTCATTATTTAACTGTTTCAACCCACTAATTCACTATTAATTATTGTTTCAACCCGATACTATATCATTTTGGAACCTTTAATCTAATAGCGAATTTTACTATTTATTTGGACAGAGTTTTTCCCAAATCACCCCGCAATCCTGGTCACCATGGCCACCTGTAAAACCAACACTATCAACAATACCTCTAAAACACCACAAAACACAAACAAGAACACTCTCAAAATCAAAACCAACTCCTCTTCTGGAACATGAGCTGAAAGGGTTAGGGTTACTAACTCTAGCACTTGGTTTGCTCTAGAATTAATTCCTTGTAAACAGATTGGAACTTGTCTCAAGAATTTTTAGGAAATCTCAACAAAGAATCCACAATAATAGTCATTGCTTTATAGGTTTTTCCTAGATTTAAAATATTGTATCATATTTTTAATTCTATTGCAAATAGAATTTGAAAGAATTATAGCCTTGAGAATGTGAAAACAACAAGTAGTGATTTCATAACCTTCTAGTTCAAAGTGGAGACTGAGTTGCAAATGGTACTTGAAAATGGTCTTTAGATGTTTGGGGGTAAAGCATTATTCTTCAGCAATGACACCTTTATTATATCTTCAACAAGATCCCAGTTTGGATTCACATTTAAGGTTCGTCATTTCCATTATTGTCTAGAAAAGGGTTGAGCTTGGTTGCTTGTATGATTGGTAGTTCACTTTCATGTGATAAGCAAACTTATGCATGCACGTGTCTAGAATATATACGAGTGTGTGTAGAGCTTGATGTGTCCCTCTCTTTTATTTACCAGTTAGAGATTGAGAGCCCCCACTCGGATGAGTTAATTTCAGTTGAGGTTGACTATGAATAGAAACCCAAATGGTGTGAAAACTACAAGCTATTTAGACACTCTTGTTAGATTTTAGTTAATAAGTCAATTAGTGATAACAGTAATGGAAAAACAGTTATTAAGTCTTTTCTCATGAAATCACTACCATACTAAAATAATGTTGATTTTTTGTTTACATTAATGGCTACAATCGCGTCTTTTTGATAAATTTTATTGAGAAAACAACCATGTCAACCATTTCTACTCCACAAGCCGGTCCAAAAATGAAGAAATATCAAGAGCTAGTTGACTAATATAGTGTTGATAAGGCCAAAGATGAAGCCTAAAGATTTATTGTCAGTCAAAACCAAACCATCATTTAGCCTAGGACTAAACCAGTTAACTAGAAACTAGGATTTATCCGCCTTTTAACTGGTTTCTAAAGTAGAAATGATTAACATGATTGTTTTCCCCTTAAAACTTGTTTAGGTAGACACTGGAATCATTGATACAAACAGAGCATATCATCATTTTGATGTGGTAGTGATTTAGAGGGCAAAGACTCAGTAGCTGCTTTTCCTTTACCATTATGACTTATCAACCGAAATATGATAAGAGTGCTCAAATAGCTTGTACTTTTCACATCATTTTGGCTTCCATTCATATTCAACCTCAACTAAAATCGACCCATCTAAAAGTGGGTTCTCAATCTCAAACTAGTGGATAAAAAAGAGTGACATATCAAGCTCAACATAAACTAGCACAAATTCTAGACATGTGCATCCATAAGTTTACTTATTACATGAAAGTGGCCTGCCAGCCATATTAACAGTCAAGCTCAACTCCTTCTTAGACCATAATAAGAATGGCAAATGATGAAAGTGAATCCAAACTGGGATCTTCAAAATCCTATTCTTGTCAAAGACATAGTAGAGATATTATTGCTGAAGAATAATAGCTTTGCCCCAAACATCTAGGAACCTCTTTCAAGTGCCATTTATAGCTCAATCTCTATTTAGAATAGGAAGATCATAAAATCAATAGTCATTATCATCACATTCTTAAAGCCATAGTTTTTTCGTACTCTATTTATAATAGAATTAAAAACATGATATGACAT